CCATTTATCTGATGATAGATGGCACAAACCTTTGTGATTGTATGACTTTTTTTATTCTAATTTGGCAGGGCATTGGAAATGGTTTTCCCCTTGGTGCCTTTGTAACAACTCCAGAGATTGCAGAGGTCTTAACCCACCGGAATTACTTTAACACCTTTGGTGGGAATCCTGTTAGTACTGCTGCAGGGTTGGCTGTTTTAAAAGTAATAGAGAAAGAACAGCTTCAAAAAAATGCACTTGAGGTTGGGACCTATTTGAAAGAAAAGCTCACTAGCCTAAAGGACAAATATGAATGTAATATCTTCACCCTTCTTATTATATTCTCATTACAGTTTTACATACAAGGATTCCTTGTAAATATATGCATGCTCTGTTTGGATAAAAAAATAGGAAAGTGATTTTTGGTACACATTCCCGAGTTCTAGATACAAATGAAGAAACAAAATCTTTAATATTTTAGCAGTAACCCATATGATATCCACACACGCACTTAATTGAGAGTAGAGTACATTATTTACAAATACGGCATTAGAGTTTCCAACAAATTTTATAACCAAACTTTGTTTCTTCTGTAGTGATTGGTGATGTGAGAGGAAGAGGCCTGATTCTAGGAGTTGAACTTGTCACTGATCGTGAGCTTAAAATTCCAGCAAAAGCAGAAACATTGCATGTAATGGACCAAATGAAAGGTAAAATCCACACCCCTCTAGATATGCACTTTGGTGCTAGCTATAGTTTTCTTCTATATTGCAAACTGATCATGCTGCTTTATTACAGAATCAGGGGTACTTATTGGCAAGGGTGGTTACTATGGAAATGTCTTCAGAATTACACCCCCCTTGTGTTTCACCAAAGAAGACGCAGGTTAGGCTCAACCTCAATTTCTCTATGCCTGTTTTTAACGGCTAAAATTTAACCATTGTTAAAATTATCCGCCATGAAACTATGCCTGTTTTTAACGGCTTGTGTAATCCGTTGGTTGCAGATTTCGTAGTAGATGCAATGGACTTGACCTTGTCTAGAATGTGAAGCTTAGACCGGATATTCTAGCTTTAATAAAAGTATTATATTATCATAAGTGAAATGATGTAATGCCATATTCACAGTCGGTAAAATTTACAGAGATGCAGACTTATTAGCTAAAATAGCCAACCTATCCATGATCTTAGGACATAAATGAGCCAACAACTCGTTGTCTCTGGTCTGATGTTTGTACCTTTTCATATGAAGGAGCCAACAATTCGTTGTCTCTTGTCGTTTATCTTTTCTTCCCATGTTATTATCTGTTGCTTTATTTTCACGTAACTTCACGCCAATCATGATATTAATATCGTTTCGCTTGTGCCTATTATGCTCCATAGTCCTACATTCTGCCAAAACTGATAACTTGGCCATGGAAGTTTCTAGCAAATAACACACAGCAACTTCTTTCATTTGAAAAATATTAGAGTTATCAACGAAGGTTTAGTAGGAAAATACAACACTACAAAAATTTGATTTGATTTTTCAGTTCTATAAAGAATTAATCCTATTTTTTATATTAAATCTTGAGACAATGAATTAATAGGTTTTTTACTTTTATATAATAGCTTACTTTTTATTTTAGATTCAAGTTTGTATTTCAAAAAAAATATTCATTTCATTTTCTTATTCTGCTTCTATAATAAAGTGTCTCTCTGTCTTCCACTGATATTGGGTAGAGCTTAGAACAAAGCTTCGTTATGAAAGAGATGTTTGTTTGCCTTATCTATTGTTATCAATGTGATAAATAAATTCACTTACTGACGAAGAAAAAAATGGGTCAGATGAAATTAGGGATTTAAAAACAAAAAGTTTTCTACAGTGTAACAAATTTAAATGAAAAAATAAATTAATCGTAGCATTTAAAATTCGTAATTGTGTAATTTTGTGACGGTTTATTTCAACTCTTAAGAATAAATTGTTATTAATTAACTAATATTTTTTAAGGTCACTTGGGTACCGACTAATGAATGTGCATCATTTTAACATTTTGATTTATCGGTAATAGCAACATTTTATATAAGCTAAGTAGAATGTGAATAAAACTGATAGATGAGTAGTAGTAATACTTAATCAAATAAGGTTATATAAGTTATAAACAACCCAAATGTATATAACAAAAGGAAGTTTATACATCGACAATTGCTTCCACTCTCTATCAATTTCTATCTGCACCCCATTATATTTCCATAGTGATTTGGTTTTGTTTCAGTTCTACATAATAATAGACTAAACAAAACAATATGTATCTTGTGTTATCCTATCTTCGGAATTTTCAGCTTCTTCATTAGAATACTAACGACAGGTAGATAAGTTCATTATATACCTCAAAATTATCATAGTTAGGACTCTTTCAGATAAATTCGAACTAGAGATGATTTTCAAATATTTTTTGAGAAATATCATGACCCTGGAATAGTGAAATTTCTCAATAATACGCACAGTATTCCTTGCTTGTGTCAAATTAATTACGATTATTTTTGGTTTATACCGTGATAAATTTTTATATTTAATTTCACTTGCTTGTCCCAAAATGAAGTTCCGTTATATTTTATATAATATTATAATTTTCATTTAAGATTTAATTATGTTTTTATAGTTCTTAATTTTTTTTTATAAATCCGGCTTTAGTCTTCTAAATTTAAAAGCATTGATTTGAATTCTTCAAACTTAAAAAAAACTACAGTCCTTCAAGTATATCTTGGTCCCTCAAGCGAACTAGTGTTTGCCTTATGTGTTCTTTTGCTGGTATTGTCAACAGAGTGGTATTCATCATGCAGTAAATCCAGACCCTTACAGAGGAATTTTCGGTTCTGATGGAGAAAAATATGCAAGAGATGTTCAAGATATCATTAACTTTGGAACTTCTGGACATGTTGCAGCCTTCATGTCTGAAGCTATCCAGGTATTAAGACAAATGTATATAGACAGGTCCAACTTCTTTTGTTTATTTTTCTTTCTACATCTACCATCATCTTATCATACCTTAAGTAAAAAGATATCATAATTTGACTTATGATTGAAACAATTTGGGAATTAAGCACACCTTGATGCTGGTCTTGTTTGTGATAGGGAGTGGGGGGCATCGTTGAACTGGCTCCTGGTTACTTGCCTGCTGTATACAATACCATAAAAAAAGCAGGAGGACTTTTCATTGCCGATGAGGTTCAGGCTGGCTTTGGTCGCACTGGAAGCCATTTTTGGGGATTTGAGTCCCACAACGTTGTTCCTGACATAGTGACAATGGCTAAGGTAACTTTACTAGTGTCGTGTAAGATTATGATTTGTTTGGATAAAATTCTTAAAAGTGTTTGATAAAACCATATAATATACTCCATTTATCTGATGATAGATGGCACAAACCTTTGTGATTGTATGACTTTTTTTATTCTAATTTGGCAGGGCATTGGAAATGGTTTTCCCCTTGGTGCCGTTGTAACAACTCCAGAGATTGCAGAGGTCTTAACCCACCGGAATTACTTTAACACCTTTGGTGGGAATCCTGTTAGTACTGCTGCAGGGTTGGCTGTTTTAAAAGTAATAGAGAAAGAACAGCTTCAAAAAAATGCACTTGAGGTTGGGACCTATTTGAAAGAAAAGCTCACTAGCCTAAAGGACAAATATGAATGTAATATCTTCACCCTTCTTATTATATTCTCATTACAGTTTTACATACAAGGATTCCTTGTAAATATATGCATGCTCTGTTTGGATAAAAAAATAGGAAAGTGATTTTTGGTACACATTCCCGAGTTCTAGATACAAATGAAGAAACAAAATCTTTAATATTTTAGCAGTAACCCATATGATATCCACACACGCACTTAATTGAGAGTAGAGTACATTATTTACAAATACGGCATTAGAGTTTCCAACAAATTTTATAACCAAACTTTGTTTCTTCTGTAGTGATTGGTGATGTGAGAGGAAGAGGCCTGATTCTAGGAGTTGAACTTGTCACTGATCGTGAGCTTAAAATTCCAGCAAAAGCAGAAACATTGCATGTAATGGACCAAATGAAAGGTAAAATCCACACCCCTCTAGATATGCACTTTGGTGCTAGCTATAGTTTTCTTCTATATAGCAAACTGATCATGCTGCTTTATTACAGAATCAGGGGTACTTATTGGCAAGGGTGGTTACTATGGAAATGTCTTCAGAATTACACCCCCCTTGTGTTTCACCAAAGAAGACGCAGGTTAGGCTCAACCTCAATTTCTCTATGCCTGTTTTTAACGGCTAAAATTTAACCATTGTTAAAATTATCCGCCATGAAACTATGCCTGTTTTTAACGGCTTGTGTAATCCGTTGGTTGCAGATTTCGTAGTAGATGCAATGGACTTGACCTTGTCTAGAATGTGAAGCTTAGACCGGATATACTAGCTTTAATAAAAGTATTATATTATCATAAGTGAAATGATGTAATGCCATATTCACAGTCGGTAAAATTTACAGAGATGCAGACTTATTAGCTAAAATAGCCAACCTATCCATGATCTTAGGACATAAATGAGCCAACAACTCGTTGTCTCTGGTCTGATGTTTGTACCTTTTCATATGAAGGAGCCAACAATTCGTTGTCTCTTGTCGTTTATCTTTTTTTCCCATGTTATTATCTGTTGCTTTATTTTCACGTAACTTCACGCCAATCATGATATTAATATCGTTTCGCTTGTGCCTATTATGCTCCATAGTCCTACATTCTGCCAAAACTGATAACTTGGCCATGGAAGTTTCTAGCAAATAACACACAGCAACTTCTTTCATTTGAAAAATATTAGAGTTATCAACGAAGGTTTAGTAGGAAAATACAACACTACAAAAATTTGATTTGATTTTTCAGTTCTATAAAGAATTAATCCTATTTTTTATATTAAATCTTGAGACAATGAATTAATAGGTTTTTTACTTTTATATAATAGCTTACTTTTTATTTTAGATTCAAGTTTGTATTTCAAAAAAAATATTCATTTCATTTTCTTATTCTGCTTCTATAATAAAGTGTCTCTCTGTCTTCCACTGATATTGGGTAGAGCTTAGAACAAAGCTTCGTTATGAAAGAGATGTTTGTTTGCCTTATCTATTGTTATCAATGTGATAAATAAATTCACTTACTGACGAAGAAAAAAATGGGTCAGATGAAATTAGGGATTTAAAAACAAAAAGTTTTCTACAGTGTAACAAATTTAAATGAAAAAATAAATTAATCGTAGCATTTAAAATTCGTAATTGTGTAATTTTGTGACGGTTTATTTCAACTCTTAAGAATAAATTGTTATTAATTAACTAATATTTTTTAAGGTCACTTGGGTACCGACTAATGAATGTGCATCATTTTAACATTTTGATTTATCGGTAATAGCAACATTTTATATAAGCTAAGTAGAATGTGAATAAAACTGATAGATGAGTAGTAGTAATACTTAATCAAATAAGGTTATATAAGTTATAAACAACCCAAATGTATATAACAAAAGGAAGTTTATACATCGACAATTGCTTCCACTCTCTATCAATTTCTATCTGCACCCCATTATATTTTAAGATTCCACTTTTATCCTTAATTGTTTTGAGAGATGAGAAATGGTTTTCCAGAATTTTATTTCCCGAAAAGTAAAGTATTATTCCGGAATGATTAATTCAAAAGATAACCATACACAAGACTCCCGGAAAATAAATTTCATATTTATTTTGTTGAATTTTTATTTCGGAATATTGTTCCGGAATAGATATGCTGTGAATTCGGGAAACCAAATTTGGAAGTATAGATATATGTCTGCAAGAGACATTTCGAAAGTGTGGATTATTTCTTTAAATAACCATTCTGCTTCAAGTTTCATTGCAAATAAATTGTCAATCTCTTATTTATGGATGCTTTATCTCAATTAAATATATGAATTTACAAAAAGTGCGAAGCTCTGCACATGTAATATATGAAAAGCTTAGTCAGATGCGAATATATGACAATAATGTTGATGGTGAAACGCCTAATGCTGGTCAGAAGAACCTACTAAGGCCTAAAAATATAAAAAACTGATAAAGAAACTCGGCAATACCTAGAAAAATATTGTAAAAAAAATATAAAAGATAATAAAAATTATAAATTAAAATTTTTCGATATGTATAAAATATTTATTTTAAAGACATATGTTATGTATCTCATAATATAACAAACTTTTCATAAATTTATGAAGATTTTAAAACTAACAAAGAATTTTAAAGAAAGTAAAGAATAAATCGAAGATTTTGAAAGAAGGAAAGAGAAAAGGGAGAAAATGAGAAGAGGATGAGGGAGTTGCTTTTAATTGTGTTTCTTGGCGTGAATGAGGTGCTTTATTTATAGAATTGGGAATGAGTCCCAAGGCATTGTTCAAATATTGTTTTAAGAAAATAAAAAGAAACGTTAAGAAAACTTTTTGAAACTTCTGAAACCCTGAGCCTTTTAGTTTTGACCATACAACGTTCATAAAGTTGCTTTCTCTGTTAGACTTTTGTGTGTGTGTATATATATATATATATATATATATAGAGGCTTTTTAACAAAAATCCTCCACATATTACAAAAGTCGAGAAAGAAAGATTGAAAGAAAAGGATAAAATTTCCTAGGTTTTATAAGATGTAATGTATTAGAGATGGTATAGCAAGTTATATGAACCAAAAACACTTGATTGTGTTAGATGTTTATCAATCATAATACACCTCCATAACTTTTACTGTTATCGTTATGATGCGCTTACTAGGTCATGTGCATGTCTGGTATTCATAAGTGTTCTAGAGAACATGCTAAGATCTCATACAAGCGGCTCCACTTGACATTTATATAGGTGATTTAATCAAATGTATGCTTCAAATCATACACCACCTGTAAGGGATACGAAAATCATTAAAATCTTTGTTTAAATTAAAGGCTAACAACACTCAAATAGAGGAAATCCTAGTCATAAGGGCACAAATGTCAAAATAATCTATGTTGGGTTTTTGAGTAAAACCTTTTGTTACTAATCGTTCATTATACTTATCTATAGATCCATCAGGATGATACTTTTTCTTAAAGATCCACTTACAACCAATGAGTTTTTCTCCTTTAGTCAAATCTACTAAGGTTTAATTATTATTTTTTGAATTGATTCAATTTCGGTCTTAATGGTTTTATTCCACTTTTTTGCATCAAGAGCACTAATAACTTCTATAAAGCTACTTGGATCATTATGAACTAGATATGTATATAAATTATTATCGAAAGAAATTTCCTTCCTCTGTCTTTTACTTCTTAAATCCTCACATAATGCATCACTATTGTTATCATCAACAGGTTGAGATGTCTCACTAACCTTTAAGGGAAACACATGTTCAAAAAACTCAGCATTTTTCGTCCTCATTATAGAATTTCTCTCAAGTATATCAACTTTAAGAACCAGAAACCTATAGGCAACACTATGTTCAACATAGCCTAAGAACATGCAATCAGAGGTTTTAGAGCCTATTTTTGCTTTTCTTAGGATCGGGTAACAACACCTTAGCTAGGCACCCCCACACTATTAGATATTTAAGGTTAGGTTGATAACCTTTCCACAACTCATAGGGAGTTTTACTAGTTTTCTTATGAGGTATTCTATTTTGTAAAAAGCACGCAATAAGTAGGGCTTCTTCCCAAAGGTTATTAAGTGCATTAGAACTAATAAGCATGACATTCATCATTTTTTTTAAGAGTTTTATTCTTTCTCTTGGCTACTCCATTAGACTCGGGTGAATATGGTGGGGTTACTTCATGGATAATACCTTCTTTAACACAAAAGTCATTAAACAGTACATATTCACCACCTCTATCTAATCTAATCCTCTTAATTTTCTTATTTAGTTGATTTTATACTTCTGCTTTATAGGTTAGAAACACATCAAATCAAATGCTTCATCTTTATGTTTGATTAAATACACTTTAGTGTATCTAGAGTAATCATCTATAAAAGTTCAAAATAATTTTTATCACCTCTAGACATATTTTGTTTTAAATCAGCTAGATCCGTATGAATTAGCCCTAAAAATTCAGTTTCACGATCTACAGGATAACATGTTTTCTTGGTTATTTTATATTCTACACAAATATCACATTTACCACTTTGTCTATCACACATATTAATTAATCATAGTTGTTGTAATTTCATAGGAAGAATTCACATGTCCTAATCTAGCATGTCACATATCATATGATTTAACAATATAAGCAGAAGAAGAAGATTCATTAATATTCTAAAAAATGTTGAGTACAAAGAGACATTGGTCACAATATCCCTTTCTCACAATACATTATTTTTTGTCATTAGAATCTTGTCAAACTCGAATAACACTTTAACCCTCACTTTTCTCAATAGTGCTATAGAGATTAAATTAACTCTGATTGATGACACGTGTAGCACATCACTCAAGGCTAGAGTCTTTCTAGATGTGAGTTTGAGAAGAAATTCTTCTTTTCCCAGAATAGGAGTGATCTTGGAATCACCGAGGTAGACGTGTTCTTCTCCATCCCCTACACTGGTGTAAGAGGTAAAGACACTTCTGTTTACACAAATATGCCTAGTAGCACCAAAGTCTATCACCCACTTGCTCACATTGATCATCAGATTTACATGAGAAACAACCACAACAATAATGTCATCTCCTTCCGCTATATTTGCCCTAGGAGGATTGTCGTTTCTTACTCTTTTTCTGCATTGTGGTGCATGATGGCCTGGTTTTCCACATACGAAGTAATTTCCTGTCTTCTTAAAGGTGGGTGTTAAAATAGAATGACTCCATTTTTCACACCAAGAGGGGGGGGGGGGGGGGGGGGGGAGGGGAAAGA